GGGGGGGGAGGGGTGAATTGTACTGTAGGGCTCGGTAAATTAGACCAATTTTTCTGCATACATGAAATGAAAAAAAGACATTTCAAATCCAGATACGATTTTTGGTACAGAAGGACGTTGCACCAAAGGAAACTATCGATAAAGATGCCAATACAACATAATGTTATGCACGGCATAACGTAGTGACAAGACACAAGTTTAGATGTCACAGGTGTGTGCCCAGGTGCAAATTATTTCTATGTGAGATGGAAGTTCAGAGAAAACATGAAGAGTGCGACAATACTAAAAATAAATTCAACATAAATGTATAACATACTTACTTAAACACTTAACCACATTCCATTTTACTTATAAAACTGTCATCCAGACATCGGACGAGACAATATTTTATAGGTCAGGGGAGATAACTAGTACAGAAAACACTAATATTAGAAGCAATGCTATCAGAAATCCGGAAGATTGTAAAATAACTTCGTTCAAACGTTGTGCGTTTAAAACTACATAATTGGTCACTAATATTTATTGAACTTATATGAAAGACGCTTTTTAAGTCGTCAAGCACCTGTTAAAAAATTAACCAATGAGAAACTGTTTGTCATTCATCGCGGGTTTAAGACTGAAATGGCAAAACGAAATTTAGGTCATTTTTTCAAAAGTAGGTCACATTGACCGAATTAAGTGAAACAACAAATCTGAGTTAATTTCTGAACCCAATTCGAATTGAGACTAAAAACAGTAATACAGTTGTTTTCAATTGAGTCACGATCCGAGTGGACGTAGCAAAGTTCATGCACGGGCGCCCGGGGGTACCGGGCTACAAGTCCCCTAAACAAAAACCTAGTAGTCATATTCAAATACCCATATCAAATATCGGAATATATCTATGTAATTTAAATATATTGAACTTGTACATAATCTATTAAAAAGGTACATAACCAGGTTAACGAAGTCAAAATACGGCATTAAGGTATATGTAATGATAAAAGTTGCTCACCAGATTTATAACATGTAAATCTCTTAAGCCACCCAACTGAATGTTACGAAATGACATGTTATTTGAAGATCAATTATACACCTAGGTCATGCAGGGCTTTATTTCTCTTTAACTATATCAATAAAATAAAATCTTTTGATGTTGGAGGTGTATCTCTTAATTGTGAAAACAATGTCAAATTACTAGGTGTAAATTTTGATTATTTATTGAACTTTGATTATCACATCTCAGAGCTCTGTAAAAAAGCCTCAAGACAATTATCTGTACTGAAAAGGAAAGGTACATTTTTGTCTAGGGAAGGGAGACAAATTAATTACAACTCTTTCATTGTTTCAAGTTTTAATTATTGTCCTCTTGTTTGGCATTTCTGTTCAGTAAAAAGTGTACGGAAAATGGGGAAAAAAATCAAGAAAGTTCACTACGTTTTGTAAATGGTGACTTTTCGTCTTCCTTTGAACTTTTAGTCCAAAAATCAAACTCTGATTTACTACATATAAGACGTTTGAGAGACATGGCATGTGAAGTTTATAAAATACATGTATAGTTAAGAAAATCTCTCCACGCTTTATCCAAGATATGATTGAAATAAAGGTAACTAATTATAATTGCAGACAAGAGAATACAGCTGTATTACCTCGGGTCAACACTACAAGGTATGGACTAAATTAAATCTTTCTCCTACGAGGCCGCCCGGGTATTGAACAGTCTCCCCCAATCATCTCAGAAATGCAGACAGGTACAATGAAATTAGGAGACTGGTCCAGACCTGGGATGGCCTCATTGTCTGCCGCGGTGTGTAGTACATCATGTACATGTAGCTAGTCCGCTTTGCTTTGTGTTAAGTTTTGTGTGTTTTAGGCTGCTTTTTCGTATTTGTCATGTGCGAATGTTTGCTCTTATTATTTTTTTCATTTAATTTATTTCATTATTATGTTTCGTTTGTTTTACATGTTGTAAATGTGCTTTATATATCGGCCTTTATATATAGTGCTGAAAGTGGAAAATTGTACTTCATAATAACTGTTTTTTATGTGTATGTGCTTTGCTTCAATGCTTTATGCTAATGTATTTTATGTTAAAATTACTGTCGTGCTATATGTATGCCTTATAACTTTGCATGGAGCCTTAATTATGTTTTAACACTTTCTCTGTTTCATAATGTTTTATATATGTAATTGTTTGATTTGATGCTTTTTACTTATGTTTGTCGGAATGATAGCTTTTAATAGCTAATGTTAAATGTTTTTAAATATCCAACGCTAAATAAAGTTTATTGTATTGTATTGTATATGTGGAGATGCATATGTATACCGGCCTGATTATTATGGGAAGGTACAAAAATCATCGTCCGCGTAACGTATTTTCCCGGTATTTATATGTAAAACCATATAGACCCTTGACCATAAACACTACTTAAACTTCATATAACATGTCCTTTCTTAACATTCAATGTTTTTATAAAAGAGCTAGACTTGTTATAAACATCATTGTACTTTTCAGCTTCAATGATTATAACATGAATAGCGCATTCATATAATCACAGAATGTTATCAATTGGCACATCATCTAAAGTTCATTTATCGATCAAGGTTACTTAGCCTTTGTTTTCTCATTTATAAATTGCTAAAATGTATTACCAGGGGATTTTACTATGATTTTGGAAAACCAAGATGGCAGGTAGTTGGTTGTATTGAATTTGGGAGTAAAAGTGTTTTAGCCCTGTTGCTCAAAAAGTATTGGCGGGATCTTTCTCAAATTTCACATAAGGGTTCCTATCAAATCATATCAGCCGGCCATCTTGTTACAGTATAAGTTTGTTATCGCTATTTCTCAGAATTTACTAGAGGATTTTTTCTCAAATTTGATATGTAGGTTCCCCTTGGTCCCGAGTTGTTCATGTTAACTTTTGAGGTTGATCAAAAGATTGATTAAAATGGCGGACATGCAAACTGATCAAAAAGATAAGAAAATAGAAGAGAAAAGATCGAACTGACATAGAACTAATGAAGATCGTATAATGGCAGTCACAAGATCCCTCTGGGATCTCTTGTTACAAGGAGGGTGTGACTTCCTTCTGGGCTGAGGGGCGGCGTCAAAAAGGCGTTATTTTTCCATATTGCTAGAAGTGACTTCTCTGGAACAAAGTAATGTATATCAACCATCTTTGGTTTGGAGCATCCTTTAGTGGTTGGGGATTCAAAATTGGTCTGAGGGGCAGTTCCAAATTTTTTTTTAACTTGGACATCATCGAGATCCCCATCCCATAATCATATTATATACCAATGGTAACCATTGCTGGGCATCAAGAGACAAACTTAATCATGGTATAAGAATTGACTCCCTAAGGAATTAATTCCCAAGCCGTAACTTTTAAACGGTTAAGTTCCCCACCCAATAACCATATATACCATTGCTTGGAATCAAGAGACGAAAACAATCATGATATTAATATTGACTCTTGGGTCTGACCCAACCCCTAGGGACTTACTTTTTGGGCCATAACTTTGAAATGGTTGAGATCCTTACCTAATAACCATATGCATATATACATTTGATAGGAATAAAGAGATAAACAGTCATATTTAATAATTGACCCTGGGGTGTGGTTCCACTTCTAGGAACTTAATTATTGGGTCATAACTTTGAAATGATTTAGATGCTGATCCCATAGCCATATATGCCATTGCAGGGCATAAGATCCAGGTGAGCGATACAGGCCCTCTGGGCCTCTTGTTAACATATTTGACCCCTTTACCTTGAATATAAGTCAAGGTCATTCATTTGAAAAACTTGGTAGCCCTTCATCCCAGCATATTACTGGCCAAATAGCATCACCCTCGGCCTCTGGGTTATTTAGAAGAAGTCATTAAAATATTTTAACATATTTGACCCCTATGACCAAGAAAATGGATGAAGGTCATTCATTTGAACAAACTTGGTAGCACTTCATCACAGCATGCTACTAGTCAAATATCATCATCTTAGGCCACTTGGTTACTGAGAAGAAGTGGTTTGAATTAAAAAGTTGATGCTGGGCGCCGCACCACCGCATAAGCTGTCTTGAACTTCGGGGAAGGTGAGCTTATAAAACCAGATTAAATCATTCTGACAAAAAAAATGATAATAACATAAATATTTCATAAAGACAAACAAGCAAAAATTTATATCAAATACAATTTTATTTTAACAAATTGGGCTCTAATTTTGAGCAGTCTTTGTCGTTTAGTCATGTACATTCATAGAGTCATGGCTGAGAGTTGTAAACATATAAGCCTTCACCTTGCTGGGCTCTCACTCCTCCACTGATATAAAATACGTCATTTAATACTTAAATATGAATATTTTTCATTCAGGTGATCTAACTGAAATTTTGCATATAGTTAGGTGATGGCATTTACTGTATAAATCAGAAAAAAAAATACAAAAAAAACCCACAAAAACCCTGCTGGGCATTCATTTCTCCACTGAGCACTAATTAGGGTGACCCTGGTAAGTAACTGACCTTAGGACCTGAAACAAGAATTATTTCCAGGTATTATTATTCCAAAATAAATAGTGAAAACGATCATGTCCTTATATAATTAGCGCTCTGACACACACACTTCTCATACTTGATTATGTATGAAATTTGATATTACAAAAAGGCAATGATGATGATTCAGACACCATAAACTTGTATTCTTGTACAATATATATATACTGTTGTTGAAATCTTTTAAGTCAATGGAGCAATGACATTATGTATGAACAAAGTATATGATAATAACATGATATACTACCTATGTTTTTTTCAAGTACATACATGTTTCTTTCAGGACACATTACAATGACTGAATATCCACAGAATCACACATTAATCACAATTCAAACCTGCTCATGTAACCCGTGCATACAGTAGATGGAGATTGATATTATGTACAAATGAGATTATTGATTCACAATGATACAACTTATGAGAAACTAATAATAAAAACAAAGATAAAACAGTGGATATTACAATCAAGCGATTATATAAAGGTACCGATGTGTCAATGAACAAGAGGCCCAATGGGCCTGCATCGCTCACCTGGTATTAATCTCACACTTGTAATCTTAAAAGTGGACTAAAATACAGCTACAGGCAGAATATCAGTGTTTGATTCATAAGAACCTATTAAAAGATTTAAACATATGACGCCTGTGACCTTGAATGTCGAACAAGGACATTAGGTTGAAAGGGGTCAAGGTCATTCATTTGATGAACTTGGTAGCCCTTCATCCCAGCATGCTACATGCCCAATATCAGTACCCTAGACCTTTCAGTTATTTAGAAGTCGTTTGAAGATTTTAACATATTTGACCCCTGTGACCTTGAAAGTGGGTCAATGTCATTCATTTGAACAAACTTGGTAGTCCTTCATCCCCGCATGCTACAGGCTAAATTTCAGTACCCTGGGTCTTTTGGTTATTGAGAAGAAGTAGTTTGAAGATTTAAAGACAGTTGACCCCTGTGACCTTGAAAGTGGGTCAAGGTCATTCATTTGAACAAACTTGGTATCCCTTCATCTCAGCATACTACATGCCCAATATTAGTTCCCTGGGCCTTTTGGTTATTGAGAAGAAGTTGTTGGAAGTTGTTTAAAGACATTTGACCCCTGTGACCTTGAAAGTTGGTCAAGGTCATTCATTTGAACAAACTTGGTAGCCCTTCATCACAGCATGCTACAGGCCCAATATCATTACCCTGGGAAGTTTGTTGAAGATTTTAAGACATTTGACATCTGTGACCTTGAAAGTGGGTCAAGGTCATTCATTTGAACAAACTTGGTAGCCCTTCATCCCAGCATGCTACTGGCCAAATATCATCACCCTAGGCCTTTTGGTTATTGAGAAGAAGTTGTTTAAAGTAAAATATTGACGCCGGACGCCGGACGGACGTATGGACGGACGCCGCACCACGACATAAGCTAATAAAAACTGTTATATAAGCTTTCAAAGCAGAATCATTTTTTAAAAACAGTTGTCAATAAAAAGCCAAGTTGTAATCTGGGGAAACATTTTGTAAAATTACAAAAACTCAATGACCTTCGAAGTAAAACCATGATACCAACCAAATTTAGACCTGGAAGAACAGATTTTTTATTACAAACTTTGACCCTACCCAAAACCGAATATAGACTTTTGACCCAAAAAATGGTTACTGACAAAAATTTAAACTTATCCTTTTTCTAATGACAATTTGTTACAAAACTTCAGTCTGACCAATATCTATATATTACACCATGGCCACTGCCTGAACACCTCGGGAATTTGTTACCAAATTCAGTCTGACCAATATCTATATATTACACCATGGCCACTGCCTGAACACCTCGGGAATTTGTTACCAAATTCAGTCTGACCAATATCTATATATTACACCATGGCCACTGCCTGAACACCTCGGGAATTTGTTACCAAATTCAGTCTGACCAATATCTATATATTACACCATGGCCACTGCCTGAACACCTCGGGAATTTGTTACCAAATTCAGTCTGACCAATATCTATATATTACACCATGGCCACTGCCTGAACACCTCGGGAATTTGTTACCAAATTCAGTCTGACCAATATCTATATATTACACCATGGCCACTGCCTGAACACCTCGGAGATTTGTTACCAAACTTCAGTCTGACCAATATCTATATATTACACCATGGCCACTGCTTGAACACCTCAGGGATTTGGTGGTCAAAACATAATGTCATAATAAAACAAAAATTATAAGATAAAATATTGAGGTAAAGGGTACCATGTATCAGTTATGATTCCAAAGAGTGCCACTTTCAAACTTTTATTTCCTTTACTCTGATATTCATGTTTTACTTTGATGGTGTGCGTTCAATTTAAAACATCTGTATAGTGTACACGATTGACATTGCATTGGTCCCAAATTTTTCGGTTTCCTTTACGTTTCTTTTTCTTTTCAGATTCTCATATTTCTATCAACTGTACATCGTTAAATACATCACATATATAGAAACAAATTGTAGAAATGGACTTCGATATTTAATGCTAGTGGCAATGGTAATTACATATTTTAATAAGATGGTGCCCTTTACCCAAAGGACTTCTGTGGACCCATCAGAACACTAAGCATTCTCTTGTATCCATAGTTGGACACCTGAGAACCGTTGTGATTTCTTCAGAGTCCACATGGGATATATCCTCCTTCCTTGGCCAAACATAGACATTCTTTGTGTTGGTTTTCATAAAAGTCGCTGTTAATGGGTTGATGTCAATGATCTGAAAAAAAGGAGACAAAATATAAACAAAGTATCACAAGTGATACAAATCCCCTCATGTTCACACATTGTGACAGATGTGAGAGGAAATGAAGTCGCTAGAGCGATGACAATTTTTATATAAAAATAGTAACAGTGACCTTAACCTTCAACGCAGAAACCTGAAACGAGAATTAGTTGAATGCATTGCCATACCAAACACTTGTAATGTATGAAGTTTCATGAGATTCTGTCGAGGAATGAAGTCGATAGACAGATGACAAAGATTTTCTTAAAATAGTAAAAATGACCTTGACCTTTAACACAGTAACCTGAAACATGAAGTTGTTCAAGATATTGTCATACTAAACTCTGGTATCATGAAGTGAGGTTTCATGAAATTCCATTGAGGAATGAAGTCGCTAGAACAATGACAAAGAGTGTAAAATACGTACGTACATACATGTACGCACCGGCGGAATCCTATATCCCCTCAAACTTTCATTGGGAGGGGATAATCAAGTCATCAGCAGTATCAAATATGTATTAAATTGTAACATGATCACCATGCATGAAATGAACAAAGGGCAAATAACTCTAATTGCTTACATTTTAGCAATCATCAAACCATTATGGTACAGGTCTCTTTGTTATTCATCAGAAGATATTTTAAAGACTTTTACATATATGACCCCTGTGACCTTGAAAATAGGTCAAGGTCATGCATTTGCGTCAACAAAATGTCAAGAAGATTGATACTACAGTGTACACTGATGATAGATTTATGGACAAGATTTAAATGTCAAATTAAAGGCAATAACTTTTCTATAATCATCAAATCTAAATTCTTATTTGGAGAACACAACCAATTAAGTACCATGTCTACTACAAACATCATTACATGACTTAAGACGTCGATAGGAAGTTGAACAAAATAAAAGCAAAACCAAACCAAGTACTACATTAGTTTCACAAATTTAATAAGACGCATGATCAAGAAAAAAAGTGCCTTCTTCTGTTTTCTATAGAAATGCTCCTAAAACCATGAGTGTGATCACAGCTACGTTTCTACTCATATCTATCAGCTTAACATTGTGCCATGTGCATCCTTATAATTACCTGTCCAAAACACAGTTAGCTACGTCTCCTTCTGTCTGATAAAAGTGGGAAGTCCACCTCAACAAACTCATGCAACTAGTATCTGTAAATAGAATATAAAAAATGATCATGTAGATTATATTAAGGCTGGTTCTGAAAATTGTGAGCTGTAATATAAAAGCAGTATTAAAGGTTATTATGTGAATTCTGCATGTTCAAAGGGAGCACAACTTTTCATCAAATGGTTATGTTGCCCTGGAGTAAAACTTGCTCAATTTGTTCTCACACCTGACAGTCAACAAAAAACAAATCTGATATTAAAGTCGCAAGATTCATAACCAAGAGATTCTGTTTAATAGCAAAAGTGACATTGACCTCAACAACTTTACCCACAAACTTGTTAAAAGCATTCTCATACACAATTGATATATTAAGTTTGATTAACAAGGCAAATTATTGCAAGGCAATCCATAGTCTCCACTGGTAAAGATTTCTATATATTTACAGAACAGTACACTTATGTCAGAATGTACCTACTGTTAGGAAAGTATCCTGATACATACTTCTTGCACTCCACCATCCCAAGATGTCCTTGTACACCAAATCTGGTTACCCAAGGTGAAATAGTATAGAAGATATGCCAAAGACAAACTTTTTCAAAAATAAAGGTCAAAGGTCAAGTCATAGCTATAGGTCACAGCGATCTTCTTCTTGCACTCTGCACTCTAAGATGTCCTTGTATACCAAATCTGGTTCCTCCAGGTAAAGCAGTATAGAAGATATGCCCCAGACCAACTTTTTAAAAGTAAAGGTCATAGGTCACAGTCACCTAATTCTTACACTCTGCATTCCGCCATCTTAAGATGTCCTTGTACACCAAATCTGGTCACTCCAGGTAAATAATGTAAAGAAGACATGCCCGGACAAACATTTACAAAAGTAAAGGTCAAAGGTCAAGTCATAGATCACAGTGATCTCATCTTGAACTCTGCACCAAGATGTCCTTGTACACAAAATCTGCTTACTCCAGGTGAAATAGTATATGTCCCGAACGTCTCGTATGGAAGGATGGACAGAAGGACGGATTGAGTGCTAACCTATAGTCCCCCCCCAGGAACCAGTGGGGGACTAATATCCTGCCAGAAAGTGATTGTATTGATTTTTCTGTTAATTGTAAAAGTGACCCTGACCATGATGCCCTTGCTCATGTACTTGTATGAGATATATTTAAAATTTAATGAAGAAATAAGATGGACATAGCTCTGACAAAATGTGAACATACATTAACTCCACTGACTGGACATCTGGCTGGGCATCTAGCTGGGCGACTGACAGGAGGAATGGCTGAGCATCTGGCTGGGCGACTGGCTGGATGTTTGTCTGGGCACCTGGCTGGGCGTCTGGCTGGATGTCTGGTTTGGCGACTGGCTGGACGTCTGACTGGATAACTGGCTGGATGTCTAGCTGGGCGTCTAGCTGGGCATCTAGCTGGGCGTCTAGCTGGACGACTAACAGGAGGTATTGCTGGGCATCTGGTTCGACATCTGGCTGGACATCTGGCTGGACGTCTGGTATGGCTACTCGCTGGACGTCTGGCTGGGCGTCTGGTTTGGCAACTGGCTGGACGTCTGGCTGGATGTCTGGTTTGGCAACTGGTTGGATGTCTGACTGGGCGACTGGCTGGACGTCTGACTTGGCAACTGGCCGGACGTCTGGTTTGGCGACTGGCTGGACGTCATGCATATGCTGGGAGACTGGCTTGGCGTCTGACTGGGTGGCAGGCTGGTTGAGATGGGCTGCTGGCTGCAAATCCCCAGCAGGTTCCAGGAGTGGAGGGCAACTCCTCCTTTGAGTTTTCCTCTGTATTCGCCTTTCTTTCCTGGCCTTGGCATAATAACTAATAAAAGAAAATGTCCAAAAAGTAATTTTCTTTAAAGCAATTAGCAGGGTTTCTGTATTGTGAAAAGATACATATAGCACAACCATTAAGTGTTTATGTGTGACAGTTGGATGACAAGTACGGTATGTCACCTTCATCAGAATTTTTTGTTTTTTTATTACGTTACAAAATTTGATTTCTTATTGATTTCAAAATCTTTATCAGACAGTGACTCATCAATAATTGTTTGAATTTATAAATGTCTGCCATAATAATTGTGAAGGTAAATACCATTAATCAACGTAATTAACATATCATCCAATCAGATTTCTCCAAAATTCACAATTGACTTCTTTCTACTACAAGCTCAATTACATTCTGCATTCCAGCATTTGTTCCATTTTGATTGCACTGTATCAATATTGAACCCAACAGGAACCTAGCTGATGCCAAATATAAACATGCTGGTACCAAAATGGAATGAATGGCAAAGCCTCTAGAAAACATGCGCCAAAACATAAGTGGGACAGACAGACGGGAGTGGAAACCTAACTCCCCTCTGGTTTGGACATGAATGGATTCAATAAGCATAAAAAACTTACATCATCATAGGTTTTGTCATTGGCCACCATTTCTCTTGGCCATGAAACTAAACTGTTTCTCTACAATACAACAAAAAAATTACAATCAGAATAATTTCACATTTTTAAATGTTTTTTTAATACTATATATTTATTCAAAAGAATATCAGGGAAGTGTTGTAAAAGTGTATTAAAAGTGAGACATCAAATTTATGAACGTCTGTATTACACTCGGTGCTTCAACTATTTCAATAGCATTTTGTCTCCATTTTAAATTGATAAATACAGGTTATGAGACTACATATGTTTGGCACAATATCTTTTCCAAGTCAGTACTACTCTTAGCTACTAGGTTACCCCGACATCTTTCCAGTCCTGCATAGCGTTACTGGCTGGCAGGTAGTCTAACACAGAACCCTTCCCCTTGTACTCTATCATTACTGACAGCCATGCTCCTGGGTCATCAGTGTCTTTGATGACTGTAAGAAAAAATAGCAATCAATGTGCATACAGGGAGTGGGAAATCCAACATCCGTGCAGAGAGTTCATTGTAGTTCTGTGATGCACTCCTGTTCAAACATTACCAATTCTGCTGCCATGCCTTCGTGTTTACAAAGGAGCACAACCACCACATCCTTGAAGAATAAACTGAACTGCCTCAAACCAACAGGAAAATAGGACTTGATTCAAAAATACTTAAACCTAGGGGTCATGAGAGAAATATATCAAGAATCTTTAACCCAATCAGCAAAATAGTTTCGGCTTATCTCCTGATTAGTCCACCAATCAGAACATTTCTCGGTCATTTTAGATTTCAAATTTGTTAAACACAATTATAAACTAGAATGATACACTGACAGGGCAGCAAGGGACCCTGTCATGTGCTTGACCGTAAACTCCATTGTCTATCTTTAGTAATGGTGACACTGACCTTGACCTTAGACACTTTTTAAACCCCTATTGTTGCATATCTACATATCACAGTGTATCGCCATGTCAAATTTCAGAAAGATTAGTTCTTTGGATTCCGAGAAAATATTGGAAAACAAAACTGTGGACGGACAGACTGATGTTTACTACAAATTAGTATATTATATACTAATATATGACCAGAGAGGGTATTTTCATCATCCATGTAATCAAATCAAATAACATTTAAACAACTCACACAAATCAGTACATGGGTATGCAACGATATTGGCCTTTGCAATCGGTACGTCCTTGTAATCCAGCAGTGTAACAAGACTCCTGAAAAGTAAAGAAACAAAAACAATATAGAAAGAAATAACCCATTAATTTCAAAATACCGATGATATTTATGTCCCAAGGATTCAGTTACAGATGTTTCTTTTCTATTTTACTTCTGGAAATATAAAAAAAAAAAAAAAAAAAAATTAGCTTGTATTGTTGATGCAATATTAACAAGAAGACGCCATCATCGATATCCCTCGCTCGCAGTGCAAAAGTCAATAACAAGAGGCCCAAATGGGCCTTCACCGCTCACCTGGTATCAATTGTAACCTTAAAAGTGTAAAGCTACAGGCAAAATATCAGTATTTATAACTGTAAGTCATTCAAAAGAACCTGTTAAAAGATGTAAACACATTTGACCCCTATGACTTTGAAAGTCGAACAAGGTCATTACATTGAACAAACATTATAGCGGCTATACGCCCTTCATCTCAACATGCAACATGTCAAATATGACCACCCTAGACCTTATTTTATTGAGATTAGGTTATTTAAAGGTTAATACATATTTAATTTAATGTGACCTAGAAAGTGGGTCAAGCTCATTCATTTGAACAAACTTTGAAGCCCTTCATCCAAGCATACTACTGGCCAGATACTGTATCAACATTCTTGATCTTATGGTTATTTAGAAAAAGTCGTTTAAAGGTTTAAAACATATAAGATATGTGACCTTGAGTATAGGTCAAGGTTATTCATTTGAACAAACTTGGAAGTGCTTTATCCCAGCATGTTATTGGTCAAAAATAGAAATACAAAAACAAAACAACAAATAATGCAGGGGTTGAACTCAGGACTGTTTACTGTCTACACTTTACCTGGAAAGTCGCCGTCCAGGAATTATAAATGCGAAGCATGAAAATGATGGCCGCTTTTTTGAAAGCAATGCCTATAGCTAGAAAGTATATAGATAACTAAACTAGACAGGGGAAGTTACTCTAAGCCAGAAAATTCCATATATTCTTTGAAAACCTTGATTTTCACAAATTTCATGTTTGTACCTCCAATAATCTCCAAGTGTGGTTGCTACCATTGATTCCAATAATCGCCCACCCCCTACTTTCGTTTTACCAAAAAAGAAAGAATAGGGTATATAAATAATCTGAAGGTGGTGACTTGATGTATTCATATATACTCTATTTACCCTGTTTTGTAACAAGTCTGTAACTTTTCCTCCTTATCATCGTCTGTTGAAAACTTGCCGTAATCTAACTTCCTCTTCTTGAACTCCCTGTCCCTGAAAGAACACAAAAAGATAGCATTTATTCTTACATTTAAGCTTAATACATTAAATTAGCAAAGTGTACCTGGAACCTGGATTGATATATAATTATCCCACTATCAATAAACCTACACCCCCACCACCGCCGCACACACCTGAAATGTGTATTCAAAATAGGGAAACAAACCCTATAAAATCATTAAAGCTGACAGTGCTATTTTCAAAAGCTAGCTAGCTTGCAGAAAGAAAAAAATAAATATTTTTAGACTACTTTTGAGATGTTCCCAAGAAGAGACTATTTCTTCCAGCTATTGTATCTAAAGACAAGCCTATATTTTAGTGCTTTCTTGGTAATGTCAGTATGGGTCTCCCCAGGTATAAAGCGTTCAACCTTTCAAACCAGTTATCACTGTGTATTGAATCATAGGACGGTCAGTACAAGAACGATTAATTGTACATATGTACTAAATATGATACTTACGGTGAAACTTGTCTTTTTTTCAGGTAATGGATAACATTGGTCGCTTTCTCTTTCAACTTCTTCATAACTTCTTTGTCTTCATCGTTGATATTCAAAACTAGCTCCTTGATCTGAAGTAATAATAAGTTGTTAAATACATATAATTCAGGGAATGGGGCCCGGCGATGCTTTGGAATTGGGAAAATTGTGTTGCAGTACACGAAATTCTGAAATATTTATATAAGGTTTTACCAAATACTGACTTTCTTATCTAAATCCTAAATCCAAAACATTCCTATATTTTGTTTTAATAAATAATTCTTTCATAACATCTGTTGCTATAGTATTGCAAAGTCACCTGAATACAATATGATGATAACAGTTTCTATATTTCTGTTTGATTGAGAAATTTTGAAGAGATTTAGGAAAAATAAAATCTTTTTCCATTGGGAATTGGGCAGACTTTTGCCCCGGAAATAAGCTCTGGGACCCACCACATATTTAGTTGTTTTGCTATCAATGCATTTAGTCTACACTATTGCAAATAAAATGTTTTGTAAAAACACTGAACGCCAGGGGCTCGCCTTATCAAAATCTAAATTTGATTTCTTAAATCTCATAAAAAACTCATACAAGTTCCTCTGATTAATCTGTGACTGTGATGTATCTTCCAAACAGATTCCATCACACTACAAATCGAAAGTTACCAAAGTTCCCTTGTCATATCTACCAGTACATAACTTCTCAAATTTTCTATAACTTATTGCAGAGACGAGTAACCAGAGATTGGCAACTCATTCAGATCTCGCAATATCATGCATGATCTTATTGTTAATTATCAAATTATTGAACTTTGTCAGCATTGGAGGATATAAAAGGAGTTATTCTGTAGCTGAAGGGCATACCAGCCACTCATCGAAGCCACCCTTTTAAATTGTTTATTCTGAAATTTATGCATTTTCAGAGCTAAATTATTTAACTTTGTAAGAGTTGGAGCATATTGATATTAAGAATCTGGTGAGAATCCCAATCTGGCTTGAAACATCATGTTAGAATTAAGATTAAAAGATATTTTTTTTAAATTAAATAAATAACAAAAGGAGTTAGGAACAGAAAGTGTCATGACATCCAGTTCCAGTCTCAAATGGTAAGACATTAAAAGATCAAGCTGCCAATCTCTGGTTAAATGTGTCTCTGCTTATTGCAAATATAAGCGAATTACTTTCTGTTTACCTTCAGCATCAATTCGTGGAAGTTGTGTCCTTTCACAGATCTGATGCCTGTCTCAATCACTGCTCTCCGTATGACAGCCTTAATTGAAAATCCTGGTGTGAGTGTTGGTGACATAATTACAATACATATTGTAACAGCCTTTACCCTTTCACCCCTATATAACTTTAATTAACCCTACCATGCATTGATTTGGATGATTCCGGTATGGTCTACAGTGGTGAAAGGGTTAAATTACAGTGCACTTCCAAGAAAGCTATAGCTGTAGAGCACTTTAAAGAAAGCTTTGTTTAATATATGTAAGGGTTCCACTGGATTGGATCAGTTATATCACCAAGAAGATTTTCTTTTTACTTTTACTATTATTATTACCAACAACTGTAAAGAGCATTGCCACTGGATTTATTTGGACACTTCTTTAAAATAGGAATATTGTTTCATATTAGTGACATTGGTAATAATTTATTTGGCAGACTTTATGGTACCCTTTTTAATTGCTTTTTTAATAATGACCTAATGGAATCCTATACAACCTGGCCAGAACACCACAGTAAAAACGTCCTCATTTTATAAGTTTATTACATTGTCATAATTAAAATATAACGAGCTACAAAAACACAAAATAATATTTGATTAATGCGTTCCCAAAATGAAACAACCAAACTAATAGAAGATAATCATATTTAATGAAGTGTTTTCTTCAGGGAGAAGAATCATGTACATGCATCTCCCTCTAACTTTTGAACAACAAGGCTAATCCTATTTTTTTAATGGATAATCAATCGATTATAGTTTTTCAATTCTTACGATTAATATAGATAATTGAAACAGCACAAGCAATACCTGTCTGTTATTTAGTTGCAGCCCTTTCAATCACTATAAGCGAGAACAGGTAATATATTTTTTTTCATAATGTGAAATTCACTTACGCATAAGAAATTTTGATCGTTCACAAGAGTCTGTGGGTTCTCCAGCTCAGGATCTCCAAAGATCTGACGTCTCATCAGCAGGATGCTGCTGATATCAATACTCCTGGGCTGAAGAAAACCTGCTGCAGGGACTCTCATGTGTGTTTTGCCATTCGTCGATGATTCTGATGGTTAGAATATAGAAATCATTGTTAAAACTTATGCAATCCAATTTTAAAATAAGACTTGTATTTATGCTCCAAATACCGACAAACTCCAATATATTGAGTGTATCAGTAAAGGAGGGTTAATACAAGTCTAATTTTAATTAGCTTGAAACTAATTTAAGTCTGGCCTAAATCTAATGCAGATATGAAGTTGTAAAATTATATTCCAACATACATTTGGCTGTCAAAAAATTAGCAGAACTCAAGTAGAAATGTTTTTGTGAACAGAACAAGGTAGAACTAGGCCCCTAGCGACACTGAGATTTAAACATTTAGTCTATTAATAGCATTTTAATATTTTAGTGTCCATCATACCATTATGACAGTCATAAATTTACATTTTGATAATTACAAACAGTATTAGTTTTGAATATTGAACAGTCTACACTCACTGGTCATAAAACACTAAACAAAATATAGCGAAAATAGAATACTTAGACCTAGAAGCAAATAAGTCCCTGGCCAAAAGATATTTTAACCGGACAAATTTTGTAAGTTACATTTTAAATATAAAGTGATGTGCCATTTCCCATTGAATTCTATGTTAATTTACATTTTTTCAAAAAATATTCCTGACTTCATTTAACATCCAATTTTGATAAAACTTGACAGTACCCTTTGTCTGGCTCAGCGCCCATCTTTCCTGTTTAGTATTCTCCATTGGAGCAGCTGATGAGCTAAACAAAAACAAATTAAGTTTTTGAGAAAACAGTTTTTTATTTCTTTATGCTGTTTGGTAAGTAAAATACATCTGTTAATTGTTAAGGATAAAGTACTGAACCTGGGAAAATAATCTAATGAGTAAAGATATGTGTCATCAGAAATGTTCCGCTGAAGTTGTTTACTTGATTGTTTTGCAGAGTGATCAAAGTCTGAAAATAACAAGTAAATTCACGGATTTCATATTCCCCGCTTTAAGGACATGTTTAAGATGAAGTGTTATTGTTGAGAGTTACTTGAAACATGATATGCTAGTATGGAGTATTAAAAGCAGACAAAAGAGAAAATGTTTCTTAGAAATTAGGCCTTCAGTTTCTTTCAAAATGGCCAGTGGATCAGGATTAACAGTGTAACAGCCTAGAAGAAGTCTAGGGGGTTTATGAACAAGCCAAATTCCATCGGCCCCTCGTGCCACTATGGACATTTTCTAGTATACAACAATTCCATTGGATACCATATATAGATTTGACTGATTGATATCCTGAGCTTCGTTAGTATTGGAATAAGACAAGGTGCAGTTTTTCAATTACAGGAGGGAAGTTTAGGGTCTCTGAAAACATTATTTTTCATACGAAATGGATCTGTTACAAGAATGATCTCCCTTTGATCATAAGTAGGGAAGGTATATTCTGTATAGGGGTTGCTTCCCTTGCCCATATTCTCAATCATTATAAACAACCATATCCTCCTTAAGCTCTGGAGAATGGAGCCATATCGGATCACATTCCTGATGAGATCTATATATGACACGTTGCCATCGCCAACTAAACTGCTGAAATAGGGCCTGACAGAAGATCCAGAATGCAAGCTATGTGACGTTCGTGCTACAATGGCCACATCTTGTCTGGATGCAGAGAGGCTTTACAGTAAGGGCAATATCGAAGGAGACACAACCAGGTTCTCCGAATCTTAGCAGATACACTTGAGAGGGAGAGGTGAGGAGAGTCAAGCAAACAACAGGTTCAAAGAAAACAGGGAGCCAGTTCGTTAGAGCAGGAACGTTCCACGCGCTGGGGATACGTAGCATAGACCAACAGAACGCAGTCAGGGTCTTAGGAGAGCAAGCCGAGGGTGCATCATGCTGGATATGGCACCAGCGAGAGGACAAGGAGTGGAAGTCGCACAATGACACACAGTAATAACATCACCACTTGGACCAGCCACCTGTAGGATGTCATGATTTTGAAGGGCGAAACATTCAGCGACGGTGAAGATGTCAAAGTGGCGACCTACACTCCAACACCACACAACGGAATCCACGAAGGGGCGACAATACCAGATGTCAAACGAGATTCAGCCTGACCAGATCAAAGCAAGTTCAAGTTCAAGTTCTTTATTTGCTATAGTTTTACAAAGCAGACATAACATCCTCTGTAAGCATTTATTTATCATTTATAATGGGATGTATTACAATATTTCCCAGTCACTGAATAATAGACAAGGTTACCATTAATTGTTAGGGTTTTTGATGACCTTTAATTAACTTATATATTTGTAAATTTCCATAGATCACATTGACGAGCGAATGGAGCCTGAAACATGTTAATAATTTGAGCTTCTTAGGTTGTCTCAAAGCGGTTCTCAAACTATTATCCGTGGTTATAGGGCCTTTGCAACTAGACAATATCTCTCTCAACTCCCAGGGGAGCATACAGCCGGTGCTGCCATTTCGGCGCTCACAGCTAGCATTCAACAATTCTAGCACTAACCAACCACGTACTCATTTACAGCTGAGTAGACTGGAACAAGCGGAGTAAAGTATCTTGTTTAAAGATACAACACAGTGCTGTGCCGTGACTCAAACCCGCAACCCTTTGGTCATGAGCCCGGTGTCCTACCACTAGACTACCGTGCCTCATTAATATGTATGTGCCCACCACAATTTGTTGAAATAGGACCATCATTAAGCATAGTTTTTGCACAGAAACCAATTACCCAATTAGAACGTATACATGTAATTAATTATCCATAATATGCACAGATCATACTAGTGGGTGAACTTAGTCTTGAACATGTGAATATGTATGTGCACATCAATTTTTTTGAAATAGAACCATTATTACGGCACTTACTGCACGGAAACCAATTAGCCAATCAGAATGTAAAAGTGGAATTATTTATGCATAAATATGCAAGGATCACATTGACAAGCGAACTTAGTCTTAGACATGTAAATAGGTAAATGTATGTGTACACCAAATTTTGTAACAATCAGACTATTATTAGCCTAGTTATTGTACAGAAACTGAACTGTGACGGATGGACGAATGCATGGAGCGACGAGCCCAAATTAAAATCCCCAATTTTCATACAAAAACTTGGAATAATTAACTCTAGTCCTGACAAAGTGACTACAATGTGCTGCAGCCCAAACTGAAGCACGGATAAGGTGACTAATAGTGAAGGCTAAACTCCAGTCCACACCAGGCCAACACTGATGTTGTCCAGGATCTAGTACTCACTATTTACTGTTATCCTCCTTTAGTTGCTGGACAAGAATCCGGACAGCACTGGATCCATTTCGAGACAATTTTGAAATTTCTTCGAGATTCAAATCCAAGAGATCATGGTTGTTTAAGCTGAGTGCCTGGATAAAAAGATTAAAGTTAAACTCTAAATACATATAATAACAAGAGAATTTCACAGTAGTTTATTAACTTATGTCTGACCTTAAAGAAATGAACCACATTAAATATTACTGCTTACTACATTAAATATTTGACCATCAAACAACTTGTCTAAAATCAGTTACCTGATAGTAATGAAGATTTAATTTTTTTTCAGTTACTATTAGTTACTTTTAATGATTGACCTTCGTTTTAACGGCGTATACAGTAGTTTGAACACAGTTTGCAATGAACATATTCTATGGTGCGCTTAAGTGCTTCATACAGAATATGTTTGTTGCCAACTGTGTTCATACTACCATATATGCCGTCAAAATGAAGGTCAATCCTTGTATTTACATCATAAATAATGTTCAAATGCTTTTCCAAGAAAACAATAGTCGAAGTGAGTTGCTATGATGGTAACTACAGCAGCAGTGGTTGCTAGGAGAAAATAGTTCCAGTGAATCTACCTCGATATATTGGTAAATATTCATTTATAACAGTCGCTATATGTACGCGTTGACATACTGCTCTGGTAGTGACACGGTCGAACGTCGCAAAAGGAAGCCACCATTGTTTGCTTTATTGTCGAAGAATTTTGAATGTGCATCCATGGAATAAAGAAGTTTGCCGGCATCCCTTTGTATATAATCAGTCATAATGGATCCTGAATATGTTCCATGTTTCTTGATGTTGAAGGAACCAAACCAATGGCTGTCATCGAACAGCTATCTGGCTAAAGCGTGAAAGACGTCGTATTTGAAACAAGTATCAGCCGCGGAGTATTTTGTCATTACGTATACACTACTTTATACGCAGTCAAAGTTTACAAAGCTGGAGAAGGGAGAGATAAAAAAAAATATTTTATACTGATCACATATTTCATGTAGAGTACTACTTATACATAACTAGGAAGGAAAGCTATATATATACTACTAAATGTTTTATTGGTGGGTCTACCTTAATCTCCTGTAATATAACAGTTAGAGCCGTCTGGTCCGCACTACCGAACTGAGACACAAAATAATCCATGCTCTTCCTGGCGTAGTCCTAAAACATACAAGCACCACAATCAACCTGTGTTATGGTTATATGCGTACAGGTACAGTTTTTAGAAAATTTCAACATGAATTCCATGAGTATATTGATAGTTTTTCATCATTACTAAAGGATAATGTGTCCACACTGTTTATCATTATAAAATAATTAAAAGGACTCCCAAAGGATTTGTCTGCAACCCACTTCCTTTGGTATCTAAGATTTGAACAATAAAATATTCTGAAATATAAAGAAACTTTATTTAAAATCTCTACATATAATTTTCGTATTACATCACAATTTAATAATTTAAGTAATACATAAAGTTTCTCACAAAATCCTACATTGTTCAAATAGTCAAACCTGATTTCAATGAAAATTGCAGACATGGTTTTATGGCCCGAGGGTATGCTTATCTTACTGTTCAGTCAAATGGTAAAGTCAGGTTTACTGACACAGTGTAAGTATATCAGACCAAATGATCAAGTCCCCAAACAGAAGTTCTATTACAGTCCCAAATCAGATCATGGTAAAGTCAGGTTTACAAACAGATCTAGAGTGTACTGTCTGACCAAGGTATCCAGTCCCCAAACTGATGTAATTAAATCAAGATTTCGTGTTGTCAGGTCTAACACAAAAATCCTGTCTCCATCAGGTTCTGTAGTATGACTCACAGCCTAATTACCTTGTGAATGGTTACTAGGGCACCCATTATCTGCATCACTTGTACTATGTGTGTTGGTTGTTGCTTGGCAACCTTCTGTAGAGTGGACACATGATCGACAAAGATGAGTGGACTGGCTGTTGCCATGTCAACAAATAGACACAAAATCATGGGCGACAAGGTATTTGAGGACAGATATTTTACAAATTTTCGCACATACTTTTCAAGCACCTGAAACAGAAAATCAAAAATACAGTGAGTACTTATAGTAAGTAATCTTATAGAATGACATATATACATTTTCGCATTTGAGTAGCATTAAATTTTGCTATTAATGCAAATCATAGAAATTGTGTTAGTTAATTTTACATAACTGGCTTCCTTTACTGTAATGTGCCAATACATCTGTGCTGTATCTCCACCAATGGGAAGTTCTTTTTTGGTCAAATTTCTGAGTTGAAGTTACTTGCTTATATTTACTGCAAAGAGTAGTGTACAAAATAAATATGTTTCTCCTCATTTCAATTTTTACAGTAATATCTAAGATCTGCTATGAAGATTCAATACCCAGATCTCAAATTTATAAAGCAGAGAACTTAATTTAACCCCTGTGTCACAGGTTATGATTTTTGTTATGTTAATACTTTTTAAGGTAGAAAAGTTACGAGGAACACTATACAATAATGTTATGGTATTTTATAACAAAACCACCTGTTGGCATTACCGGTATGTTTCCCAAAGAATTTTTGAACTTTAATATTAAATTAAAAGATTTTTTAACAGAATTTCTCTCAATTTATGACAAACAATGGATACCAAATGTTATGACCAGTTGACCTGTGATAATTGGACAGTCAGTCTGCAGTCTAAATCATCCAGGTTCCCCATCACAAAAATGACAATGAACATGTAACAATGCAATATTACTGGTCGACAAAAATCTCTAACGGTACAGAGTAACCTACCACACATGCAGGCGTTACGCACCCTGTATGTACTGTTAGAGTTATACTTACTTTAGTGTCAGTCTTGGCTATCATTCCAAACACCTGGAAGAGATTGAGCCTCTGGGATAGTTCACACTTGTCTATAATCTTGACCAAGCAGTCAGTCTGATCAATGACTGCTTGTCGACACTGGGTAAATATCTGGGGGAGCAAGGTACTCAGAAAGTAGTTGCCTGTGGGGAAAATCAAATTTACAGTAAAATCTCAGGCAGTTATATATAATTAAAGGTTGGGTAATCTAATATAAAAAAAATCAGTATTTAATGCTGTTTCTGATATGAAACAACATGTGCCGGGGACACTCATATGATGTGTTTATACTATCTGTGTATGAAACATTTGTGAAAACTCTCTTCACAGTGTCTGCTATATTTTTTAAAACTCTTCTTGCTGTACAATTATCACAATCTAAAATTATGAGACATACAATGAAAACACTCTAGTCCACGGTGATCTGTAATCCTGATATGGAAATAATCAAACTACCTTATTTAAAGTGATACAAGTTGTCAGTATATACATATGTACCCCTGAGCAGGCTGCTGAGGATGAGGTCCACGTGAGGTGCCAGGAGGTCAGCGTTGTCCAGTGCAGCCAGAGACAGGTAACTGGACACATTGCGTCCCAGCTCCTTGTTATTACAGCATAGAAAGTTCACAACCACAGGAATAGCTAGGATCATTACCTTCCCCTTGTCGTAGTGCTGTAACAAACATTCCATTTTTAATCAGTCTTATTGATACAAAAATGTGTTAATTGCACAATGCATCTCATAAATATACTATCTTACACATTTGAAATTTTGTGTTAGAGTGATCCCCCTTTAAATACATGCGATATATCTATTGTTATTAATACATTTATTCTTTTATGTTCAGTTGTGCCATAATAAAAATATAATAAGAATAGATTTTCTAGGAAAGTTACAATCCATGTGTACAGATTATATCCTTAACAGACAATTAGATAAGGCAGACAATTTGTCTATGAAATCATGTTATTTTAATAAATAGAAAAGAGGTTAAGACTGGGATTGAGATGATGCACATCAGAAATTCCGCTCTAACAGCTGTAACCTTGACCTTTAGGAAAAGGACCTGAAATTGTACTCTGTGACCCTTTTGACTTCTAGTATTTACTTTCTGACCCTTTTGACTTCTTGTATTTACTTTCTGACCCTTTTGACTTCTAGTATTTACTTTCTAACCCATTTGACTTCTAGTATTTACTTTCTGACCCTTTTGACTTCTAGTATTTACTTTCTGACCCTTTTGACTTCTTGTATATACTCTGTTACCCTTTTGACTTCTAGTATATACTTTGTGACCCTTTTGACTTCTTGTTTTTACTTTCTGACCCTTTTGACTTCTAGTATTTACTTTCTGACCCTTTTGACATCTTGTATATACTTTGTGACCCTTTTGACTTCTTGTATATACTTTGTGACCCTTTTGACTTCTAGTATATACTTTCTGAGCCTTTTTGCTTCTATTATTTACTTTCTGACCCTTTTTGCTTCTAGTATTTACTTTGTGACCCTTTCGACTTTTAGTATTTACTTTGTGACCCTTTTGACTTCTAGTATTTACTTTCTGACCCTTTTGACTTTTAGTATTTACTCCTGACCCTTTTGACTTTTAGTATTTAATTTCTGACCCTTTTGACTTTTAGTATTTACTTTCCGACTCTTTTGACTTCTAGCATTACTTAACTGCTTTGTGAAAGGAACTGAAATGTATATACATGTATATAATAGGTCAATATCACTGTTAAATGTCGAAGACTTGATGAAACTTAATTTTGTTCCAGTCTCAACTTTCTTATAACTCAATATTTCTACGTGTGTACATAATCACATTTAGGGCGTGTGACAGTTGTATTTTTAAATACTGAAGACACAGATCAATAGGTATTTACTTGTGTGTATAGTTTATATGAAGTCATTTTAGTAGTACATGTAATTAATATAAGCTGGCTAGCTAAAGTCTGTCAAAGTAAAATTAAAGTCTACACAATGATAACATGACGTGCCTGATGTCTTATTTTTGTCAGACAGAAGCTATAGAGGATCTTTTCAATAACCGGATATTGTATTTAGCTGGTGTAACTGTATAAAATAGGTCCAAGCCTAGAACTGATTAAATTCAAATCTTACAAACTATAACATTTATCTCTGGTCATTTCCTTGTTGATTGTATTTGTTACGTATGTCCTAATAAGTCACGCAAGTTCGGCACGGGCCGAGAGAGACAGCCAAAGCGATACACAATGCGACTTCTGTCAGCCATATTGCGTGTATGCCGCCTTGCTTAAATGTAGCGTGCACAACAGGCACGTCAGAATCAAGTTTGCCCAGTGTCTACAAGTTTCAGAACAAGGGGCAGAACTCTAGCAGACTTGGACATGACCTCATATTCTGTTAGTACTGATTGGATACAGGATGAATTATTGCAAACTTGTAATATGTACAAACCAATGGTATAATGAGAGTAATGTGTTATGCCCTATGTTACAAAGGGAACAATTATTTTCAGAATAATGATTGGAACCTGACCATGAAGAGGAACGCCATGATGTCGGAGGCAATCTTGGCATGGGGAGGATCCTCCTCCTGAGAGGATGGGTTCAAGTTGTGTTTCTGACATAGCTCCAACAGGCGTACTAGGGCAACAGCATGCTTCTCAATACTCTCAGTCTTCCTAAGGGAACACAGGGATTAAATTATTGTTTTTTTAAACAATTATTTTCCTATAATATTTTATCTAAAAACCTTTTTTTGGTTCTTCTCCACAAAATGATATAACCCTAGTATGAATATTTCTGTAATTTACCTGATGGTTATAGTAACCGTGGTAACACATATTTCTGTAATTAACCTAATGGCTATAGAAACAATGGTAACACATATTTCTGTTATTTACCTGATGGCGATATACATATATGCAAGTAACAGTGGTAACACATATTTCTGTTATTTACCTGGTGGCTATATACATATATGCAAGTAACCGTGGTAACACATATTTCTGTAATTTACCTGATGGCTATAGTAACCTTGGTAACACATATTACTATAATTTACAAAATGGCTATAGAAACAATGGTAACACATATTTCTGTTATTTACCTGATGGCTATATACATATTTAAGCATTGAACTGTTTTTGTATGGTATTTATGTTCTATTTGAATGACACAGCGTTGCAAGCAAACAAATCATAATCCGCTGGTTCAATACTTATATTTACGTTTTCTCTGCCTCTTATGTTCATTTTTAACTTATAATTTACATTTAAAATTTAAAATTCCCGCCTTATAGACAGTCAACACAAATTCGTTCAATAGTTGGAACAGTGTGCTGTCGCGTGCTGATTGGCAAACAAAGTAGTACTTTGAAATTTTAACAAAAACTTATTCCACAATTCAGTATCTATATAATTGCGTATGATATGTATATAGGGTGATTTAAGTTTATCAATAGAACTCTGAGCTGAAAGTTAGATTTTAAATTGTTTCGATTTTTCCCCGGAACAAATTTCGCGCATGGTTACACATATTTCTGTAATTTACCTGATCGCTATGGTAACCATGCTAACACATATTTCTGTAATTTACCTGATTGCTGTAGTAACCCTGGCAACACATATGTCCACTACTCTCTGGTCATTGTCGTTAGAAGCAAAGTCTTTGTTGTCTAATATTTCTCCAATCTTCTGAAGGACACTGATAAGGCACCTCTTGATATCGCGGTCATCCAAGGAAAAAAGGTCACCTGCCTTTGACAGATCCTTGTTCCTCAACACGAAGGCAAACAATTCGTGCATTTTCTGAAGAGTAAAATTATATCAGCACAAATTCTTTGATTTACCAGCTTAGAATCTATAAAGTAGGTTATTTTTTTTAGGCTCCGAAAAATATATATACATGTATACCCTGTATTCTAACTAATGAATATTGTTGTTAATATGTGTGAATAGTAGTAGCATGATTCTAAGTCAGTGGTAGTAGTTAATCTGTTGAATAAAGGGCCATTACTCCGTCAAATACGGTGCGATTATTACTGTTATCAAACTTGTCCGATCTATTATGATAATGAACCGAAGTTTGAAGTTTAAATCCATAGAGTACCACTCGAGATATCATGCGGACACTGCTTCTGCAATTGAATAAAGGGTCATAACTCCATAAATTCCAGGCTGATCATTGCGATCGAACCTTCCAATCAAGTTTGAAGTTAATTAATCTACTGTAAACTACTCGAGATATATATCGACCTAGTGTACATGCGACACCGTTAGAACCCGCCTGCTCACGTGGCAACAAATTAATACATCTCATCGTTTGAGTGAATGTAAAAATATAGGCTGAAAATTATATATTGGGGATGCATTAAGAGCGGTCCTCCTTAAAAGCGTCTTCAACCGACAACAAGCGTCTTCAAGTGACAACAAGCGTCGCCAGACAAAATCTTTTAAAATACTGAATAAAGTAAGCGACATCAGAAGATATGTTGTTAATATGACTATAATACACCTCTGTACCAAATTTCAATTTGATATTTGATAAAATGACCGAGTTATGACGAATTGAATTTTTACTATCGCGGCGTGGCACATGTGTGTATTCGCATGTAAAGTGAAGAAAGCGTCGCCAGATAATATCGTTAAAATTACTCGCTAAAGTAAGCGACATCAGAGGTTATGTTATTAGTTAGACTTTTATTGATATACATTCCAAATTTCAGCTCGATATTTGAAAAAATGATCGAGTTATGATTAATTTATTATTACGATCGGCGGTGTGACACACGTGTGTGAATAGAACTCAACATATGAAGAAGCGTCTTCAGAACATATCTCTAAAATTAATCGATAAAGTAAGCGACATCAGAAGATATGTTATTCATATAACTATGATACACCTTTATACCAAATTTCACTTAGATATATGAAGAAAATACCGAGTTATCGTGAATTTATTATTTTACTATCGTCGGCTTGGCACGCGTGTGTTAATAAAACTGTACAGATCAAAAAGCGTCTTCAGACATTACTTCTTAAAATAATTGATAAAGTAAGCGACATCATGAGATATGTTATTCTTATGACTATGATACAACTATATACCAAATTTTAATTTGATTTGTTGAAAAATGATTGAGTTATCGTGAATTTAATTCATACGATGTACAGATTTTAAGCTAGACGCCGTGCCACATTTGTGTACGTAGGGTATACGTAGGGCTTCGCATAGGCAGATACGTGTATGTGTTATACGTCTCTGACATAGGTGAACACAGTTAGAATATATTGCTATATAAACATTGATACACCTTTAATCAGCTGTGTCAAGAATAACATTATTGTATTTATTGAACAATTTAGATTTTAATTGAACCCATTAAGAATACATTTAACAATGTGTTTAGTTATATATTTTTATTATAAATAATATAGTGGGAGGGGGATGCGTAATTTTCGAGTTTCTCAGGTCTTTTTTAAAAAGATTGTGGCCCTGAAAAGGGCCGTTTAAGCAGGCGACTAGCTTAGTCTTTGACAGAACAACGCTAGTCGCTGCTCTTTTTATAGCACATATAACAATATAAATAACTCAATGGTACGTACTTTCCTATTGGTAGACCAATATCGATCCACATGTTATCAGTTATGCTAAGCGAAACAAAAAACCGTACCACTTAATCCACAGCCACAATTGGACGAGATTTTTGTACTGAAACGGTATTACTCGACCCTTGCACGCGACGCGTCCTATAAAAAACGTATAAGTTGGTTCGACAGAATGCTAGGGTTTGGCGATGAAGCGATGAACATTGCTATTGCAGAGTATTTAGGATTGTTTCCTTCAGAACCCTCTATCCACGGCCGTTCTAAACGTACAAAACAAGAGTATCAGCGAACCCTCGCTACAAAGGAGGCAATACACGATAGGTTAATTAAAAAACAGACTTCGAAAGCCATTCTAGACGACATTAAGTCACTGGACGATTCTATGAATGAACCCAGAGACATGTCATCAGTCTTTGGTGAAGATGGTTTATTGAATTGTGATTCAATAAAAGAATTCAATACCAATGCACAAAAGATTGATGAGTCATATGGAACACGCTTAGGAAGATATTGGTCAGAAAAGATTTTACCAACGATTAAGCGCAGGGTGATTGAATCGAGATTGCGCAATGCTGCAATTCCAAAAGGTTGGAAAAACAACAATTGCGATGAATCACATTTCAAGGGGACTGGAAAATATCAAAAGTTCCCGAGCTGATTCAGCGTTTGGATACCATTCAACAATCGCAGTACTCTGACGTACGTAGATCGTTGCATGGTACCGGAGACTATGAATTGGCCGCGCACGCGCAGCATTTCAAGTTGAGCACAGTCGTGTGGCGGGAATTGTCAACGTTTGATAAAGCGCGCAAAGTTGACAAGTTACTATAAAGCATGTGTGGAAGAAAACAGACTTTTTAACATCTACGAATGGTATGTTAACAATACATAAAACCGCAGCAATCGCCAAAAAACCAGGGACGCGAAAACGTGTTCTCGCGAATCGCACCGAAACGCACGGTCCTGTTAAACAACAAAAGTTGTAACTTAGTTACCTGCTGACAATTACGCTCAAAGAAGAACTTTTTTACGCTTTCACAACACTTGTGTGTCCGCAGGACGGGATTCAAGATGTGAAATTTTTTGACATTTGACTTTTTTTGAGAAACAGTTATTCTTACGTATACAGACAAAATGTATTTGATACCGATATTTACACCTGTGTGCCAGTCCTTTCATTAGAAGTTTAAACCGATTTTATTTTTCAGCTTTACCTTTACAAGAATAACCATTTAAAATTGGTGTAGTGTATATAAATTCATTTAAAACTATAGGGATTTTTTTTATAAACATCAACATTAAATCGATCAGTCACACGAACATATAACGGACCCTGAGTAGAACCACGTCCGTAGGGTCTGGTAACATGCTCGTTTCAAGAGTGTGGCTGAGAGTTCTACAATATAATCCGTTCTAACTGTGTTCACCTATGCGAAGCCCTACCCTACGTACACATATGTGACACGGCGTATAGCTTCGTAAAATCGTAAAATTAAATTCACGATAACTCAATCATTTTTCAACAAATCTACCTGAAGTTTGGTATAAAGGTGTATCATAGTTATATGAATAACATATCCTCTGATGTCGCTTACTTAATCGATTAATTTTAGAGATATAGTTTGAAGACGCTTCACAATCTGTTGAGTTCTATTCACACACGTGTGCCACACCGCCGATCGTAATAATCAACCTTATCATTACTCAGTCATTTATTCAAATATCTACCTGCAGTTTGGTATAAAGGTGTATCATAGTTATATGAATAACATATCTTCTGATGTCGCTTACTTTATCGATTAATTTTAGAGATATAGTCTGAAGACGCTTTACGATCTGTAGAGTTCTAATCACACACTATGCCACGCCGCCGATCGTAATAATAAATTAATCATAACTCGATCATTTTTTCAAAAATCGAGCTGAAATTTGGAATATATATCAATAAAAGTCTAACTAATAACATATCTTCTGATGTCGCTTACTTTAGCGAGTAATTGTAACGATATTATCTGCCGATGCTTTCTTCACTTTACATGCGAATACACACATGAGCCACGCCGCGATCGTAAAAATTCAATTAATCATAACTTGGTCATTTTATCGAATATCGAGCTGAAATTTGGTACAGAGGTGTATTATTGTCATATTAACAGCATATCGTCTGATGTCGCTTACTTTATTCAGTATTTTAAAAGATTTTGTCTGGCGACGCTGAAGACGCTTATTGTCGGTTGAAGACGCTTTTAAGGAGGACCCATTAAGAGTAAGAAAGACAAAACTTCAATTTCAACACAAGTTTTATATCAGTTTGGTTGAATCACACTTGTTATGTGGATGATCACAGTATAATTAATGTGGTATCAACGCGTAGTCAAGGGGAACATCTCTAACTTAGTTCTTAGCTTGACGGTTTTGTAAATACATTTTAGGTTATCGTCCATATTCAAAATGGCACAGGCTCTTGTGAGAGCTTATATACTCGCGATCGGGCCCCTATGAAAAAATGGTTCATAAATAAAATGTAGGTTTAGGTAAATTGACAGTTATCCTAGCAACTGTATCCAAAGGACTGGACAACAGAAAGGTATATATTAAGGGGTTATATTAAGAGTTGGAACATATCTGATATATGTGGAATCTATATTTGAACGGTGTACACTGTAGTGCACGAACTGTAGCCAGTTTTGAGAGGAGTGGTTGGGTAAAAAACCGAATGTAAATAGCACTGTATGGTAAGACCAGAGACCTATAATACGTATTATACGTCTCTGGTAAGACCAATAAATATGCAAATTTTGGTAATAAAGGACGTTGCACCTTTCGAAACTATTGAAAAAGATGCCAATACAACAGTGACATTAGACACACGTTTGGATGTCACAGGTGTGTGCCCAGGTGAATGAAACGAAAGTTCATAAATAACGTAAATAGTTCAACGATATTAAATATGAATTCAACATAAATGTATAAAATACGTACTTAAACACTTAACCATATTCCATTTTACTTAAAACTGTCATCCAGACATCAGACGAGGCAATTCATAAGTCAGGGGAGATAACTAGTACAGGAAACACCAATTTTAGAAACGATTCAATCAGAAATCCGGAGGATTGTAAAATAGCTTTCGTTCAACCGTTGTGCGTTTAAAACTAAATAATGAGTCTCATGATGTTTATTATACTTCTATAAAAGACGCTTAGATAACTTTTCACTGGTAAAAAAAGTATAGCAAAAAGATGTATATCATCAAGCACCTGTTAAAAATTAGCCAATGAGAAACTGTTTTGTCATTCATCGCGGGTTTTTCAAAACTTCCTGTCGTCTGAAGACCGAAATGGCAAAACGAATTCGTTTTGTCCTTTGACTACTTATCTGAAGTCATGAGCCATCAGGCGTTTATTCTACTAGTCGTCTGTTTGGTCCCATCAACTTTTGGACTTCTTGATTGGATCTTTGGTTCAGATACGTCAAACAACGATGGCAAACTGCGAGGTCTCATTCCCAAAAATGCCAATTTTGAAATGCAGTCAACAGACGAACAGTTCCTCACCGAGTTTTCAAAATACCTTATGGAAACAGAAATGGAATCACAGCTTGGATTATGTTTTCACAAAGTATGAAGAGATAACAAAAGATACAATAGGGACCTGAGCATTTGTTACCCTTAACCACGGAATTAGATTAGTCTGTGCCTTAACTAAGGTGTTCGGAATAATTTTACATATTTTAGGGTTTTAGATCGACTTTTCTGTAAAATTGACACTCCAATGAACACCCCTTAGACATGTAAAATTACTCTGAATACCTTCGTTTAGGTCCAAATATAGCTGTAACAAATTCTCAGGTCCCTGTGACACGGGCCACGGGCGCCTTCATGATCATCTGGTATGTAAATATGTGAAAATATAAAATAATAAAAATAGCCTGTCTCTTATTAGGCAGGCTATTTCATTTCAAATACTTACATAATATGTTTTAAAGAACTAAAAGAACTTTATATTGTAATGTATCACAAATGTAAAAGGGTGAGTAATAAAATTATTTTGCGGAAGGTTTTTATTGTGCATAGGATTAAATACTAAAATGGAATAATCTCTCAGACAGGAGGAAAGATGCACGACTAACAATGATGTATAAAATCGATAGAGAGTTAGTCGCCATCAGCAAACAAAACCACCTGATAAAACCTAAAAGACAATCGGAAAGACAACATCACAACCGATCATACCAACTCCTGTCCTCACGCATTGACACAAGGAAAATGTCCTTCTTTCCAAGGACAGTGCGTGATTGGAATGCCCTTCCACCAGACATCGTGGATATAGACACACCTGAAGCCTTTAAGGCCAGGATTGTGTCATTGTAGACCATGGTCTCAACTGTAAAATAGTTTTAATTTGTACATGCAAATATCTAATATTAAGACCCTAGTACCCAAAAAATTTCCTGGGCTTTAGTTCTTATATCGTCTCAAAGCGGTTCACAAATTATTATCCGTGGTTATAGGGCCTTAGCAACCAGCCAATATCTTTCTCAACTCCCTTGGGAGCATACAGCCAGAGCTGCCATTTAGGCGCTAACAGCTAGCATTCAACAATTCTAGCGCTGCCCAATTCCAACCACATACTTATTTACAGCTGAGTAGACTGGATCAAAGCGGAGTAAAGTATCTTGCCCAAAGATACAACACAGTGCCCTGCCGTGCCTCGAACCCGCAACCCTTCGGTCACGAGCCGACGTCCTACACCTAGACTACTGTGTCTCCGAAATGTACAAATGTAATAGGATGAGGCAAAGTGATAAAGATAGTGCCGTTGCTGGGGTTCGAACCTGCGACCCTTGGTTCTCTAGCCCAATGCTCCACCACTGAGCTAATATAAAGGGAAATTCCCTATGGCTGACGCTAATCAATGCACATCTTTTATACCATTTATCCCTGTATCAAACACCCACTCAGGTCCTTTGACTCCCCGCCAAGAGTTCTCCTACCTTGAACAGGAAGGGTCAACAGCACTTACCAGGTATTTGTAATAGGAAAAGGAATAGTGATAAAGATAGTGCCGTCGCTGGGGCTCAAACCCGCTCTCCAGCCTGATGCTCTAGATATACCTGTCAATCATCCATCAACTTTTTCTTTGAGTGACTTCTTCTTAAGAACTGAAGATCCTAGCTAGGACAATGATATTTGGCCAGTCGGTCTGGGATCCCTTAGATTGAGTGCTTTAAAGTTTCCTAAAATAAATGACTTTTTACCACTTTCAAGGTCAAAGGGATCAAATATATAAAAACCTGTAAAAAAACCTTCTGTTGAATAATATAACCAGGAGGCCCAGAGTGATGATACTTTGTCAGTACATGAAGGTACCTGGCATGAGTTACTTACTATAAATTTTCCTCAAAAAAATGACCTTGACCTGCTTTCAATTCAAGGCCATAGTGATCAAATATATATGGTACATATCTTTAATCAACCACCTCTGAATATACAGGAGACTTGTGGTTATTATATTTGTTCAGTAGGTTCCTGGAATGTAGTGCTAAAAAAGTTTCCTCAACCGGATGACCTTGACTTATTTTGAAGGTCACAAGAGACAAATATGTTAAATCTTTGAACAACTTCTTCTAAATAACTAAGACACATCCAGTGATGATGCTTGGCCAGTAGGTACATGTATCTAGGAGGGAGTGCTATAATTAAGCTTTTTTCAGATAAATGACTTTGACCTACTTTCAAGGTCAAATATATGCATCAAATATAAAACAAACCTTGAAACAACTTCTGCTTACCAGGAGGCCAATGATTATGTTTGACCAGTAGCATGCTGGGAAAGAGTAGTATAAAGTTTCATTTAGTGTGGAAAATTCTTTATTAAGCCATGGAGACTCATAATCAATATTTGAAAATATTTGCAAAGTTACTTTTATTGAGAACATTTTCCCATGATTGCTCAAATATCCAGGTGAGTGATACAGGCCATCTGGGCCTCTTATCTTATGAAGTTTCAGTATGAACCCTGATATTTCATTATTTGGTTTGATTTACTTTTATATATATACAAATATATTCACTATTTCTAGCAACACTGTGTACATATTTTCAGGTAATCTACAGGTATACAGCAAAACGTAAATGCAGCCAAATGATTGAGGAGGAAATGAGTAAGCTTGCTGTCCATCTACTAAACTGTCAGTCACAGTCGGAGAACAGACCAATTTTTACATGCACAGACACCATGGTAATTAATCAAGTATCAATTATTATAAGTCAACATAAGTCAACATATACCGGTATACCATATATACTGTTACAGTTAATAGGACATTAAACCAAACCAAACTAATAAAACCAACATATATACCATAATCAAATATCAAGAAACTGTATCGTTCCTATTTTTGACTCACTTGGCCCGAATGGCCATGTGAGCTATGTCATACTTTGGCGTCCGTCGTCCGTCTGTCAACTTTTTCTTTTGAAGATCTGGAGGACCTAGGGAAATGATATTCGGCCAGTACTAGTAGGCACCTGGTCACAGGGGTTAAATATGGTACAAACTTCAAACAACAGTATCCTAAGAACCATATGGACTAGAGTCATGATACTTGGGTATGTTATGTAGACCAGCAATGCAAATCTTTTTCTTGATTACAGTAATGAGGTAAAAGGTCAACTTTAACTGCTAGTCAGGGGTCAAAGGTCAACATGGGTTAAAAGCTTTAACAATTTTCTCAAGTTCCATTTGGCCCAGCTGAGTCTTGCTATTTGGCCAGTAGGTACCTTGGATGGAGTGCTATAAAGTTTCCTCATTATTTAAAATGACCTTGATTTACATTCAAGGTCCCAGGGGTCAAATATAGTAAAACTTCAAACAACAATATCTTAAGATCCATTTGGACTAGAGTCATGATACTTGGGTATGTTATGTAGACCAGCTGTGTGAATATTTTTCTTAATTACAGTATTGAGTTAAAAGATCAACTTTAACTGCAAGTCAGGGGTCAAAGGTCAACATGGGTTAAAAGCGTTTACAATCTTCTCAAGTTTCGTAAGGCCCAGAGTCATGATATATGGCCAGTCGGTACCTGGGATGGAATGCTATAAAGCTTCCACATTAGAATTACCTTGACCTAATTTCAAGGTCACAGTGGTCAAATATGTTAAAAACTTTTAATAACAATATCTTATATAGGCACCATTTGGTCTAGAGTCATGATACTTGGGTATGTTATGTAGACCAGCTGTGTAAATTGTTTTCTGTATTACAGTAATGAGGTTAAAGGTCAACATGGGTTAAAAGCTTTAAAATTAAAATTTCAAATTTCAAACAAGCATATCTTAAGGACCATTTAAGAGGTCAATGTTAAAATGTCTCATGTTCTATAGTTACCAAATTATTTGAAGTTACCTATATATGTCAGTTTCATGTGACAAAAGAAACAGGTGAGCAATACAGGCCATCTGGGCCTCTTGTTCAACCTCTCACTCATGGTATATATTATCGTTGAATTCATTGTGACATTTACATATTTTAAAAAAGGACCTGTGAGATCATGAAAAGGGTCAAAGTGTTGATACAGACAGACCTATGATGTTTGGTATAATATAATAGCTATAGGCACTTAACTAAATTACCTGCTTGAGACTTTAGTAAATGCAAGAGTTTTGATAGAATGTTATTTTGAACAGTGTTTACATTAGATATATAAAGCAGATCAACAATGTATGGTGATCACACAAAGATGGTAATTCTGAATCTACAAATAAGATTAATATCTTTTCTAACTGTCAGATGGCCCTAAAAACATATGTCCGTATTTAAATAGAGGAAGAGTTGAAATTCATTTGCAATAAATAAAAGAAGCCCTGTTTGCAGTATTAATGATATACTTTCTCTCTGCTCAACCCGAGATTTTCATTTCATGATATTTTATTGTATAGGTCTTACATACGAAACATACATACTCATACCTGATTAAAACAGTTACACTGTCTAATATATTTGAATATTTGGTTCAATATCCTACATTACTAAACTGCTAAGGTACATATGCAAAGTACAAGCATATACCTTATTCATTACCAATATCAATTGTTAAATTTAAATTAATAATAATAATTTAATAGCTATTTTCTCACAATAGATAAATTGTGGGAATATTGCAATGTTATAATTGGATGTTATAACCTCCAGACTTTAGGGCAATGTACAGAGAATATGGATGGCTCTACGTGGAATGCCTACCACTTGATGAACAATCGGGCACGTGCAATGTGCTATGCAACTCAACAACAACACTTCCGTAAAATGACAGAGATGGCTGTTACAAAGCTTGCACTGTCTGCCAAAAGCCAGTTACAAGCAATGGACAATTTAGAGGTAATTTTCCTTACTAATTCATTCATAATTTTATTCTTGTTGTACACCAGATTTTCATTAATTAAGGAACTATTCCAGAAATAAACTTGTGTGATGGGGGGAGTGCAGGGAGGAACTTTCATGTGATCCCTCCACGTGCACACCACTCACCATTTGCTGGGGCTCACATATATATAACAAGGTTGATAATCATTGTAGACCCCACTAAAAAATTGTATAATGCCTCCTTCTCCATACCAATCTAGAATAGCCATAAATAATACATTTTATATAATTATAAATTCAATGTATACATACAGCATTTTGTAAGTATGCTACTACAGAAATTGAAAAAGGTTTTGCATAGCCAACAAATGCTATTTATAGACAGTCATTAATTGGCTTACAATAAGTCCTGTCTTGTCCTGAAGGAAATATCTGGTATATTCACTATAAGTTTCCAGGTAATACTGAGATTACACTCTTTTTGTCTTGATACAGAAAGGACAAGAAACTCTCCATTCCTTGACAACTGACACAGTTCAGAAGTTGTACGAGAGCCAACAAGACCTACTAGGAACTCACAGAGAGCTCCAGATAGCTCACCAAGACGTCATGGAACATGTCTCATCCAATATTGACAATCTAATGAAAGAAAAATCTTTGATAGCTGCAGGGAATAAGGAGCTTGCAGATATGACAGAAAGTATCAAGAATAAATTAGGTATTGCTAATGTGTTGTTATGAATTCATTGTAAACACATCACTCGGGGTAGGTTTAAGATACAAGAAAATACCACAGGAGTTTATCTGATATTGCTCATACCATTTGTTAATCGTGCAAATGAACACTGTAAAAGTAGACATTTTGCTACATGTAATCATGTCCCACCATGTTGTGGCATTAAGGGCTTGTTTGATCCGTTAACCCATCTGCCTGTTCTTATAGCATGGTTAGACTTAGCATCTAGCTCCATTTCTATCAAAGTTGAAGCTGGGCATATGCATAGTTAACAAAGATTTTTACAGTTTAAAAACTATACCAACGTAATCTCATTCCTACTTTGATTTCAATTACACAGAACTCACAACAAGCACACTGACAGAGCAGGATAGTGATCAGAAGAAAAACCACAGGCAGATCATGGAAGATTTGAATGGGATCCATGTCAAAGCACAAGAGGCCTTATCAAAGCTTGGTAAGACCACAGGCATCTCTAGTATGATTAAACGCGGCGTTTATCAATTAGTTTAATCATACGTTACCATTCTGTGGCTACGCATACAGAGCAAGATTCTTTGTTCTTATTCACGCTATTCTCTATTCACTTTTTAAAAAATCTTTCATGTATGCAATATCATAGAATTAGACAATACAGTTGATTATGTTTCAGTGTTAAATTGCTCTGTGTCACACGATATTTCCCGTTATATATTGTTTTTTAATCATTTTTTAGGACAAATGTATTTCAATTTCATACAGATTTTGAGAACACACTACATCTCTTAGTGATGGGAATCTGAAATTTTATGATTTTAGGACTTGCCTGAAAAGAAATCCTACAAAAATCACTGCTGATTTAATATGAATTCCTTTCAATACAATGTACCACTTTCTGTAACAGGAACATATAATCCTATATTCCGTCTTTGCGTATTGCAGAGTTATCTTCTCTTGTGAGCAGGTATTGATTGTTACTTCATTGGTTTGTGCGAGAAAATTACATCCTTTTCTCAAAAAAATATGACGTTACTCTCACAAATAAATGATGTAACAATCAATACCTGCTCATAAGAGAAGATAACTCTGCAATACGCAAATACTGAATAAAGAAAGGTCAATCAGATAATTGTTATTGTAAATTTATATGTTATTCAGACAACAGTTCAAAGTATTTCCTCAAGAATCATAAGGAGATGATGGTTCACTATCAGCTATTGTATGAGAACATCATCAAAATCAACAGCACAGTGGAGAATTTGCTGTCTACTGTCAGTGCTATGCAGGAAAAGCTGGACAAGAAGATTGGCTGGTTTACCCATATTTTAGGAGCCACTGGTATGATTGCTCTGTTCCCACTCTGTCGTATCTAATGTTTCTTCATGTAATAATAAGTGTCGAGCAATAGTATCAGTATATAAAGTTGTTTTATTTATGACATGACATGGAGTGATTTGGTACATTAAATATCTTGATCAACTATTAGCATGAATGATGATTAACTTCCTTGAAACAAATGTTCTTGTTGCTTTCTGACAAAGGCAATAAGTGAAACCTATCACCTATTTTAGATGTCAAAGAAAAATTTTGATTAATCTGGTCTGTCTAAGATACCAAATACAGCATTTATGAAAGTTTTGTTTCATTTTCCTGTAATAATGTGTCACATTTCCTAACAAATCTAATCTCCTTCAACAAAGGCTGTTCCAGATTTAATCATATGGGAAAGGTGGAAGATGATTTTTAGCTCACCTGGTCCGAAGGACCAAGGTGAGCTTATGGCATACCGTTGCGTCCGTCGTACGTCCGTACGTCAACAATTTCTTTAAACGACTTCTTCTTCTTAACCACTGATTGGAATTCAACTAAATTTGACTGGAAGCATCCCTAGGTGGTGGGGATTCAAAATTGTACAAATGGTGGGGCTGACCCCCCAAGGGGCTGAGGGGCGGGGCCAAAAGGGGTCAATTTGGCTATATTGCTTTAAGCGACTTCTTCTCTGGAACTAAGAAGTGGATATCAACCATATTTGACTGGAAGCATCCCTAGGTGGTGGGGATTCAAAATTGTACAAATG